ACGTGCACTCATCTTCTTTGGACGACCAACGCGAGGTCTGTTCCGAGTGGACCCTGCTCTTTTAAAACGCTGGATGATCTTGGCCACTGTGCTGCAGCTCAGTTTCAGGGTGTTGGCAATCCTCTTGTAGCCATGGCCATCTTCATGTAGCGCAACAATTCGTCTTTTAAGATCCTCAGAAAGTTCTTTGCCATGAGGTGCCATGTTCAGGGTGACCAGTATGAGAGTGTGAGAGCTGTACTACAAAACTGAACACACCTGCTCCCTGTGCACACCTGAGACCTAGTAACACTAATGAGTCACATGACATTTTGGAGGGAAAATGACAAGCAGTGCTTAATTTGGACATTTAGGGGTGTAGTCACTTTTGTTGCCGGTGGTTTAGACATTAATGGCTGAGTTATTTTGAGGGAAGAATAAATTTACACTGCTATACAAGCTGCACACACTCTACTTGTCATTGTGTCAAAGTGTCATTTTGGCAGTGTTGTAACATGAAAAGATATACTTAAATATCTGCAGGAATGTGAGGAGTGTACTAACTTTTGTGACACACTGTAAACTGAATGCGACTTAAAGAACTAGGATGAACTCCCCAGACATGCTGTAGTTTATGTTCTTCCTTGTAGTTTACTCGTTTTTATTTAAAGCTCTGGCAGAATGCCAATCACAACATTGTTCATGCCCGAGTTTTAATCCAAGATTGTCTTATGTTGAAACTAAGTGAATCAGTTGTAGAGGTCTTATTGAGAGGTTCATTAAGATCCATTCACTGGTAAATGAGATATTTTGCTAACAGTACAGACAAAAGAGCACACACGTACAGATATGGACATAAACACAATGGCCTTTTGTGTCTGGTCAAGACAATAGAATAAGATGTTCAGGCTTAAAAACAAATTGAGTTTTTAATTTACGTCACACTCCATCCTCAAGAGCCTTGAAGTTATCTGAACATCTTCACCCATTCATCGTTCATACTTGTAAAAATCAAGTCCAGTTTTTGGCCTGAGCCAACTCCTCACCAGCCTTCACATCATGAAGGCCAGTGCTGATCTGGAGACCAAATTAAACACAGAACTGGTTTTGATATGAATCAAACTTGACCTTATTTTCAGATTACATAAGAAACATCAAAGATGATAGACATTTTTGATTCCTGGAGCTGGCGAGCACAAGACAGGCCCTCTGCGTCAAAGGCAAGAGATGTGATTCAGTGCGATTCTGCTAAAGCACCAGCAGATCCTCTTCTTGCTCCTCAACAACCTCAGAGTTTTTTCCTCCATTAGGTGATAAATGCTAACCGAGCTTCGCAGCAGTGAGTTTTTAAACAGGTCCAAACAGCTGCAGTATCCTTGTACAGATGTGACACTCTGTAGTGGTTTCACTCATGAATTATGCTCCAAGGTATGCATTATGATGAAGACGCTGTGACATTCAGTCACCACAAATGAAGCCTGAAGGACTTCTGCACATATTGAACACAGGTGCACTTCCAGAGTCGTGCACAATATGTTTTAAAATATGACAAAGAAAGCCAATCATTTGAAAGGGATGCAACGAGTTGACATGTAAGAAGCTCCCCTTGGATTAACACACAAATCTACAGTAACAGGTTGAGATAAAGTGGTCTTGGGTAACTTTTGTTCAGCCTTGTAGCCACAATGTGTTAAGGCGGTATGCTTCTGATGCAAAGAGGCCTGAATATATGGGAAGTGCTGAAATCTCCAGCTGCTCCCAATTCTTATAGATCTCTTGGCACAGACTACAAACCGCATGTTAATGTGTGCAGCTTCTCAGCTGAGTGCGTTTCTATCTCGTCAACATCTTTGGATTGGAAGAAGTGTGACATGTGCAGGAAATGAGAGCCATCCTCCTATAGATGAAGACAAAAGGAACTGACAGGATCTATAGAGGCTCACTAAAGCCAAACTGTTGGAGAACATCCAGTCTCTTTGGAGACTTTCTCCATTTTTACTAAATGGGTGACAATGATAGATCGCTCCGAACCGACAGAGTCTATAAGTAATCTAGAGCAGGGGAGGAAAAAGTTATGCGTCAATGACAAATAGCTAGGTCACATGGCAATAATATAGCACAAACAACGCAGAAATAAGCTTTGTGCAACTTAAAAGTTTCTGCAACACGACGGAAATTCCTTCAGATGCTCAAAAATGTGTAGAACATGTGATCATAAGCAAAAAAAAACATCTTCCTACAACACAAGTAAGATATTTTGGTTTGTGATTTCTGAAGTAATAAACATTAAATTGATCCAGAGTGTGAATAGTTATGTGCACATTTAAAATGTTTGTTTCCTATACATATAAATGTGTAAATACGTGTATGCACATGTATCCAAAAAAGAAAATATATACACACATAGATCTACATAAAAAATCACAAGAAAAAAAGTCCCATTTTTAAAAATCACATTTCATAGGATTTTCATACCTGGTGTGTGAAGTCTTTATTTTATTGGGATGTGTCCCCAAAATGGGGAACTTGTGTTAAATTTCATAGAAAGACTTTAGGCCCACAGCAAATGTACAAACCAAACTTTTGATTAAATCAGGAACAAGTTTAATTTCTATTGACTTCTAAAACCTTGAAATGGTGTTGCACACTGCAGCTACAATTATTTTTATTCTTAATAAAAACAAGGTTATTTAACAGTTTAACTATTTCAACCTAGGATGTGTAATACGCTTTTGCCTCCTGGTGATCAGCATCACACAAAAAGCCTTGGTGCGCTATATGCCACACACAATACAAGGGTTTGTAATAAAACTATTAAAACAGTCGGTGCATTTAGAACTCTGACCGCTTCTTTTGGGGAAAGTAACGAATCAAACTCAAAACGGCCACTTTTCAAGGTAGTACTGGTGCAAATCAAGTCTTTGTCGCCCTCTAGTGGTTCAACAGCTGACACGTTTCTTTGTGAGTTTTGATTAGAGCATGGGTTCTCAAACTTTTTGGGTTCAGGGACCCCTTACGGGGAGAAAAAGTTCCAGGGACCCCCTCATAATCATGTTTATTAAATAATTTTATTTAATTTGTCTCTTTAATGCAATGGAAATATTTGTGTAACAAATACTTAAGACCTGTTCTTTAAGTGTTAATACAATTTTTATACTTTTAAACATGGGACATTTTTCATTCAAGACACACTTAATAAAAAACATCTCATTTCAATTTCCAAAAATTAGTTTTGAGAAAATTAACAGTATCAAAAACCACTTTAAAACTTTACCTATTCACTTAATGAACATTAATGAATGTTTTACCACTTCTTTAAATTATTACAGAAAAGTAAACAGAATCATAACAGCAGTGGTCAAACCAAGTAACAGGTCTTCATTTGTAAACCGATCGATGCAACTGGGGTGCTCCCACAAAATTTTTTTAATAAAGTAGATGCGATATCCTGCATTTTGGTGTATTTTAATGTATTGTTAAAGATTTATGTGCTTGTAAAAAAAAATAATTATAATAATAATATATAAGGGGATATATACATTTCCCCTTCTTCTGTCTTGCGGACCCTCAAGCGCCGGCTTGCGGACACCCAGGGGTCAGGGGACCCCAGTTTGAGAACCACTGTTTAGTTGATCTCCAGATGTCAATTGCATGTTAAAAATGGTTTATGTTGGCATACTTTCACCATAATGGCTGCAAAAAATAAAAACTGTAGTTGTAAATAAATATTGCCATTCTGTCCTTGTTTCATGCAACTATTAGAAAAGTTTGTACGTTTAAACAGAAACAGATGGGATCATGAGCTTTTGTCATTTTGTGGGTCAGAAGCTAAAACGTTTGGGATCCACTGGTTTAGAAAACATTGTTACTACCGTCTTTACCTCCAGGAATAACTTGATTCAGGTTTAAATAAAAAAAATGCATTTAGCTAAAAGTTACACTGAAATAACGTTACTGTTAAAAAATACTGTCAGTTGTGATCATGACACAGTCTGTAGGATAATAAACATTTTACTTTTATTTAAAAAAAAAATCTTAATGCAACAAAAATCAAACATATTTACAAGCTTCTGATCTTTTTTTGTTAAAAATGCTAGGAGTTAAAACACATGATGGTGCTGTATCAGCTAATGGGAAAATTACACATTCTTCTTTTGGAAGTTTTTCAGGAAAACAACAAACAGAACATAAAAATCATGGAATATCCCTTTTAAAGATAAGTTAGCCCTGGCAAAGACGCCATACTCTCATAATAAATTGAAATGGTAAAACAAAAACACAAACATGTACTGAACACAAGCATCTTAGGGTTTAATACTTATAGCATATACATTATTAATTATTTAAAAAAATAAGGCAAAAGTGATGAATCTCAACACTGCAGGTAGGAAATATAACTTGCCTCAACTTTCTTTGGCGCACAAAATCAACTTAATAGTGGAGAACAAATCTTTTGTGGTAAAATGAGAATATTTACAGAAAATGGGAATAGTAAATAGTTTAAAAAAAAATTAAAATCTTGAATGAGTTTATGTTTTCACTTTAACAGACTAGTTACAGCCACTAGGTGGAGCAATAAACCTAGATTTACAGAACTCTATCACACAGATCAATTACTGTTTTCAGGCAAACACAAACGATTATAAATATAATCACTTCTCGTTTCATAGTTCATTATGTTGTTTTGTCAGTTTTCATTACAATCTTCAGACAGAGTTAGCACAAAATCATTTACCGGCAGCAGAATCCCAAAAGTAGTATGTGTTAAAATTATTTTTAACAGTAACAAGCGTATATGATGCTTTTGCAACTATTACCTAACTCACAGTAAAAAGGCCAAAACCCCATTCAATATATCTGCGAACTGACAAATGTTAGTAAATCATTTCATTTCTTTAGAACTTCACTTGTTTTCTCAGCTCAGCTCTGATCAAATCATGAGTAAAACAAACAAAATGCTTCCATCATCCAATCAGAATTAACTATGACAAACAAGAACCAGCTGTTTGATCCAATTCTGATTGTAATGATGATGAGTAGAGAATGCGTTTATGAGTATATTATTGTGAGTTTAGGAGTATTAGGAGTACACGAGTAGTGTTTGTGTTTGAGTATATGTGCCCTTGTCTTGGATTATCAACCCAATCCAGAGGTCTGTGCTCCATCTGCATGTTGAAGGCGGTTTATTGGGTGCCAGGTGGGGCTCAGTAAGGGTCCATCTTGATCCTTCTGTACAAGAAGCAGGTGAAAACCATCCCACAGATCTGAAAACAGCAAGTGCTGGGTCAAAAGGAATAAATGTTGCTGAATGTGCTGTAGAGAAGATTTAAATGTGAGGCGAGGTGGAAATCACTGGGAAGTGTGGAGCTGGTTACTATGGGGATGTCAGGAGTCAAGCAAGCATCACTGCAACAACAGCATGTGTGCACAGACTTGCATGTGCAAACAAAAACATCAGAGGGTGGTAGAAGGAGGAAAAGCACATTTATGCACAAATATTAATATTAGTAATTTTCTTCCTCGCAGATAAAAGGTCTCCAAACCATAAGTCACTTTCGAAGTGAAGCTTAGTACAGAACAATACTGTATATATAACAATTTTACTCCTACGATCTTGTGTAAATTTTATTATTTTTAAAAACAAGGAAAAATCACCAAACATGGAACTGCTAGATTGAGCCGAGGCTGATAAAAACAAGACAAGAAGAACTTCGCATCCTATTAGAACTGAAATGAATAATATAACAAGATGCTGTAATATTTCAGGTGAGGTTCAAGAAAAACGGTACTAGCAGCAGAACAGATTGTGCACAACACCACTGACCCCATCAGGCCTAATGGATGAACAGGCATGTGCCCAAATTCCATCTTTGAGCCTCTAAAAGCCTCATCAAGTGACTCTGCATCGCCCGTCAACGTCTCTGCTGAAGCAAGTTTTACACTTGTTTTGATTCTAATCTACCTGAAATAATATATGTAGAAGTCTTTTCTCTTCTATAAGCAGGACAAAATAATTTTAAGCCTTATTTTTGTTGACAAAAGCATCTAGCTGGTTTAGACAAATGAGTAACTACATTTGGATGGAAGAAGTGCATTTCTGAAAGCTTCTTTAAGTTGTTTCTGCAGCTTAGGAGCAAGTAACTATAGAAACAAGATGAAAGCTTTCACTTTAAAGCAATAGAAAGTGATAGTATTAGAAAATGCATGGTGAATTATTAACAGCATTTCTTCAATTCAGAAACCTTTAAAGTTTAAATATTCAGTATATTTTATAGCAAATACATTTTTTAATCTAATATCTGCATTATCTGCCTAGTATACCCATTTTTATCTTCCTGTCAACAGACACTTAACAGAGTGAAGCAGCGTGAAGTAATAATTTCTGCCTGACCTTTCTCAGGTTCTCACCTTCTCAACATCTATAATGGCTCATTATCATAACGTGTGAGCAGAAGATTTTATTATAAAACCAAAGCCAAGCAGACGCATGCTTCACGACGCACAGAAATCATTTAGAATATTTAGTAGACATGCAGACTGCAGCTCTCACAAATAGCAGGCCGTCAAACAAGGACAAACGTGCAAATACCCACAATGCCCTCCAACCTGGTCTATCCATTTGATTAACAACATCAAGGAGCTCTAGAGCCAAATTATAATGCACCAAAGTCCTCTTCCTCTTCCTTATAGAGCAGATAGATAAAGCAGGCTGTCAAGAGTGCCCCGGCCAGCTACAGAGACCAAACAACAACACAGACATTTTCAACATACATACGTCAGGTTAGAGTACAATTACTGGATATTAATCGAAACATAAACATAATGACCGGGTCAGTATGACATGTACCACAGACAAAATGCGAGTTCATGAGAAATGAGTTAAACTAGGGGAAAAAAGGAGAAGCAAATATTTGCTCGAGTTTAGGCCTGTCACGATAACAAATTTTGCTGAGCGATTGTCTCAAAAATTATTGTGATAAACAATAATATTGTTTGAAATTTGACAATAATTAGTAATTATTGTCAAAATTAAGAAGAAATGTTTTTGACCACTGGATGGCAGAACAAGACCGTTTGAACCGAAGGAGCGAGCAGCGTGTCTCTAAGAAAAATGGGAGGGAGGCCCCTTGACATGATATGGGCGGTCTCTCCTTCCTGTTTTTCAGTTCTCAAAATGTCGGACGCTCGGTGTGGTTTGAGCTCTTTAGCATAGCATTTGTCACACAAAGCTTTTAATAAAAATATATACTTTTTAAAATCGGTCAACAAGTTCTCAGCTTCTTTTTTCAGAGAAAAACAACTTTTTAGACGAAGGCACGAGTTTCAACTGTGAATTTTGGAGCTTCGACAAGACGAGGTCGGTCTGTTAGCTTAGCTCGTAGCGTAGCTTCTCAGCTTAGCTGCTTTTAACGATCCAAAAACGCGATCTTGGACGGTTAAAACAGATTTTTAAGAGAAAGGGAGGGGTCAGTGAAGAGCACCAAAGTTTAGCTTTTTGTCATCCAGTGTCTTCAGTAGAAAGAGGGAGACATGAAGAAACGATAAATGAAAATGAGGTCGATTATTTTCATTTACCATGCGATTAATTGATTTATTGTTTATCGCGACAGGCCTACTGGAGTTTGAACATGATGAAATACACAACAGGTTATTTTACAGTTTTTGTGCATCTTTTAGGAATTAATCTGCACAGTCTGCCCGTTTCTTTGTGGCACATCAAGACGCTGCTCAGCCAGCATGATTACTGCAAACTTCCAACATCTGTGTCATTATGCAGTGTGATAAAACCGCACATTTTAGAGTGACCTTTTATTGTGGTCAGCCTAAGGCAAACCTGTGCAATAATCATGCTGACCAATCAGCATCTTGATCTGCCACACCTGTGAGGTGGATGATTACCTCAACAAAAATGTTGCATTTATATTTTTGTTCAGTGTACCTTGCAATTATTATGCAACTGGTTACCTTTAACTGTTAAGTCTACAAGTTAAACAACAACAACAAAAAAACATTTTGTATTTTTCCTTTCATGTTTAATTCTCTGACATCTACTAAAATATTTAATCAACCATAACATTATGACAGGTAAAGGGAGTGACCCTGCTTATCTTGTTACGCCGTAATGTTCTGCTGGGAGGAGCTGCTCAAAAGGTGATGACAAATATGTTTAACATTTGTCAGCCATTATAAAGTTTTGTAGATCAGTCACCATTACATATATCGGCAAAAGGGGACCTTACTCAAAAATATGCAGATGATCATAATGCTATGGCTGATGTGAGTCATTAGGTTCTGCTGGGCTTATATGCTTGAGTCCATTTCAGAATCAACTAAATTAAATTAAATAAATGGAAGAAAATTAATAATGATGACAGTGAAACCACTGTGAAATGAAAAAAGGCTCTTTAGAGGTTATTGATCTGTCATGTTATATTTTCAGTAATGGAAAACCTGAACCCTATTCATCTGGGCTTTCTACAGTTTGTTCAACAAAGAGCAGCTCTTCACTCTCACAGCTAAAAGCAGGCTTACTATGTAACCTGGCTTCAAGTACTGAGAATAAACCAGCTGAAATGTGTTCTGCTCTTTTGTCTGCTTAACTGCATGACATGTCCCACCTACCTGAAGACAGGCCACTCCGATCCCCACTGCACCAATGACCAGTAGATGATCTGCGAGAAACTGCTCCAGCTTACTGATGCAACCCCCCTGCAGAGGAAAACTCAAAGTTACTGACAATATCATGCTTTGAAAAGAAATGTTTGCGTAATTTAATTTAATCCAAATTTCTGCTACACTAAAACAATACAGTGCAGATGATTTTACTTTCTGCATGGTTACTTGTTTTGTGGTTTTAGGGGTGGTTTGTCTGAAATGGTTTAGAAAAGGTTAATTTTACATAAATCAAACATGCATGTAGTTCAGCACAGGAACAAAAAAGAACTAAAATACACATGCACAATGATGTAAAGTCTCTCTCAGGCCTGATTGTCCACTGCTGCAAAAAACACCTTTATAGTTGGTATATTTTGTAGGAATTCAAACAAATTAAACTACAACCAGTTGACTCCACAAAGCAGACTGTTGGTGGTAAGCACACCAACGCTGGTTTGGCCACAAATGAGGCACAACCAGCGTGAACAGTCTTCTGTCAGATGTTTTTTATTATTTGATCAGTAGCAGATAACTGCAATGCAAAACAACATGAAGCTGCCAAGCAGTTACGATGATTTTGTGGTCTAAATGAAAAAAAAGAAGCAAATGTAGGTCACATTTTAATGTTCAGTCTTATCAGCTGATTAAAAAGATGCTTTTATCATTTGAAGGGATCAATAAACCAGTTTAACACTGGCAATCTTGAACCACACTTTAAAAAAAAAGGGCCAGTTTCTTTAAAATCTGGATTTTATGTTCCTTGTTATGAAGAGCAAGGTTAAAAGAATCGGTTTGTCAGATGTGACGTTCATATGAAGGTTGACAGAAGGGTCAGACGCTCTCAGGTCGTTTGATTGATGAAAGTAATATCACAAACTTCAAAAACTTTTGATGCAAAAATAAAAAACTTCTGAGTCAGATTTGGAATATGACTGACACAGTAGGACTTTGGTTTTGAACGTGAGAAATTCTGAGTACACACAAAAAATAAACCTTCTTGTGGAAGTTGTCATTTTCCAATTGTCCATAAGCCAATGTTACTAACCTCCACCTTGTAGATGTTGGAGGGGTGGTCTCTCTTGCCGCACAGCAGAGTGATTGTTTTACAGCAGCTGTCAGGCACCACTCGGTTTTCTGCCTGTGTTGACAAAACGAACACACTCTGCCGCCAATCCTGGAAGTTGTTGCTGCCACAGCACTTGAACTGAAGACACAGAGAATGGAAGCAGAGTTTAATGAGAAGGAGCACTTGGAAATAGTTGATCATATATTGATTCAACATCTTAGTTTAATAGTGTGAACGTTTATGAAGCATTCACGCTATTGCGATCCATTTTTCTTCCGTTCGTTTTTCAGCATCTTTCTCATTCCACCATTTTTGTGCCATTTCAACAAATCATAAATCAAAATATTCAGCTCGTTCAGGAGAGGGGTGGTATGACTTTTGGTATTGATGGCAACTTTAGCTTTTTGAAATATTTTCTGCCACATTTTCCTCATAGGAAATGAACTGAGCTCATTTTACATCCTTCCAATGTTTAGATCTGTTTACAACCTTTTACTGCTCCTTTCAAATTTTGCTCTGGTTCAGCTTCTTTCAGCTTCCTTGTGCAAATTAAAACCTTTTTTCAGCTGTTTGTGCTCCTTTTAGATTCTTTCTGCTAACTACAACATTTTTGTGCTTCTTCCAACTTATTTATGCTAATTTTAGCTTGTTATTTCTGCAAGTTTCAGCTTTTTCTGCTAATTCAGCTATTTTTAGCTGTTTTATGCTAATTTTGGCTTTTTTGGATAATATACACTCTTTAGTGCTCATTTTTGCTTCAAGTCTAATTGGGTAAGTGTGTTCTTTCTGCTTTCTTCTGTTAATTTAAACTCCTTTCAGCAACTTCTGTTAGCATTTTAGCATTTTTCAGCTAATTTCAGCAGTTTTCAGAGAAATTAATTATTTTTGGTAATTTCTGTTACTTTCAGACTTCTTTCAGCTAATTTCAGCTCCTTTCAGTTTTTTTCTGTTAGTTATAGCTTTTACTGCTATTTCAGCTACTTTTTAGCTGTTTTGTGTTAAATTTAGTTTTTCAACCAATATTCAATTTTTTAAGCTCATTTCAGCTCAGTCCACTTCCTCTTGGTAGTTTAAGCTTCTTTCTGTCGTTACAGCTGCTTTTCAGCTACTTTTTTGTGCTAATTTCAGCTTTTTTTAAGCCAATTTACTAACTTTTGTGATCATTTCTGCTTATTTAAATCTAATTTAGTAAATATGTGTTCTTTCGGCTTTCTTCTGCTAACTTCTTCAATTGCAGCTACATTTCAACATGTTTTTAGCTAATTTCAACTGTTTTTCAGCAAATTCTTCAGCCATAAGCATTCACACTGTATCTTCACAGGAAATGCAATTTCCCTAGTTACAATTAAATTCAATCCACTTCTTAATATCAAGCTTGTGTTAAACACATTTTGTGACTTACAACTAACACTCAATTACTTTGCAGGGATTTCTTTCCTCCATTTTCTTATAAATTTAGGAATAGATTTGTTTAAATCCAAATAAAATACACATAATCAATATTGTTTTCTACTACAATTTAAAAAAGTAAACTACTTCAGATTGAATAATGATAAATGTATATAAAGAAACTACTTGACTGAACTTTCTGAGGAAGACCAAAGGTTCTTAGTAGTTTTTTATATACTCCGTACATCTTGTTGTAGTCTGTCCACTGCAGATGTAATCGTCTCCTTTCCTGGTTGGGCATAATTCTCAGTCATTGTCTGGTTCAGGTGCTGCTTTAGCTCCTCGCTCAGCTAAAAATGAAAAACAATAATGAGGTTGAGAAAATGAAGACATCTATTTAATGTGCAGTCAGATGTTTTTTTGTAGGCCACTGGTTGTTTATTTACCATCAAACATAAGAAATAACTCACTGGGAATTCCGTTTTATGAAGTTCACCTTAATGTGAACCTGAAGTCAATAAGTATTCATAACTTACCCTCTGGTAGTACACGTAAGCCAGAACTCCAGCCACCAGTTCAATCAAGAAGATCAACAGCAGGAAGAAGAAATACTGCAGATGACAAACCAGAAGAAGAGAGAACATTTTAACAAATCAGCCACAAACATTCCAGCCTCTTAATCATCAGCACAGTTGTCACTTGAACCATCTCCTCACCAACTCAAGCTGCTTAAAATCTGAGACGGTTTTATATAAATCACCATCAACTGTCGCTTTCCTGCGTTTGTCACTTCTAATGCAGATGGCAACGCTAAAAATAAGTAAATAAATCAAATCAGGCAGCCAGAAAGCAATCTGACAGGCTGTGCAATCGGATTCCTCTCGGCACTGAACGCTGCTTGAAATCAGTCCTTGTATTATTATAGTAGACTTGAAAGCATCTTAGCAATTACGACATTGAGATATTAAAAATTTTAGCTGCCACTTGAGATATATCTCAGACATCTGATTAGTGTAATTAATCACAACAGCATCAACGAGCTAAAAAAAAAAAAAGCAGCACACTTTAAGCATCCTAATGATGAGCATGACTGTATTTACTGAAATAAAGGGCATAGTTCTGTAAACTATAGCAAACAGACTGCGCATTCTGAAAACCTAATGAGGAAGATAAAGAAACAACTTTTCTAAACTCAAATAACATGCATAAACTTTTTATTATTTATCAAATCCTTCCAACAACTATTACAAACAAGCCCAAATCATACAAGCACATAAAACTAATTAGACCCAGCTGTCAGAGGGGGACAAAACAGAACCACCAGCAGCGCTTCTCCTAAAAATTGCTGAAGACAGATGTGCCAAACAAAGTGATCCCAAGCTATTGGTGGCAAACAGCTGCAGGGGAGAAAATACTGAAAAGTATATCAAACACTCAAGCAGATGGTCATTTCAAGAGTGTAGAGTTAATTGTACAGACAGAGAAAGCTCAGCTAATTTTAGGCTTATTTCCATAGCTAGGCAACAGTGTCACAGAAAGTGAGTGAAGAGCCTCACAAATTTTACAGGTACCATATTTTCCACCGTACAAGTCGCTCCGGCGTATAAGTCGCATCAGTCCAAAAAGGTCTAATAAAGTGGAAAAAACATAAATAAGTCGCTTCGCCATATAAGTCGCAGGACTTGCAAATTTATGCAAAATGGTACGACTTATAAGCCGGAAAATACAGTACACAAAATTGTACATTTTTCACTTTTTTTGGAATCATTACAATGTTTTCTATAAGCTTACATTGTAGGTAAACATAAAATATATAACAAAATGACAACTTTGAACATCCAACATTTTTCAGTCAGGTCATCAGGACAGTTTCTTTTTTTGTGCTGAAACGTTTCACTTTCCATCCAGAAGGCTTCATCAGTCAAGGAAACACACAACACAAAACTGATTCTTCCCCCAACAGCTTACACCAAAGTGGAAGAAACCAGTTTGTTCATTATTATAGATCATTTCCCACATGGTGCACTTTAGTTTTAATGATCTAAACTGACCAGATTTCATAAAGTGTGAAAATATCACTCCTTAAATTGAAAACAAGGGACAGTGTGTAGTTCTGGTGGATCTGTTGCTCTCTGCTGTCATGCAGTTGCCAGTGTATCTGTGTAATACAGAAACACAACCAGCTCTAACTCCTAGTTACATCATAAAAAATAACACTTCAGTCTGTGTGTGTATGCTGCCCACACAGAACGCCAACTTCAACCTTTAAAAAAACACATTCATACAACCATCACTTCATTTTCCACATACCAACCTATAAATAGCACACTGATGTCGGCATCAAAGCGAACTACATTAGAGATTCTTTACCACTTAACTCCTGCAAGCCCCCTGATTTCCCCCCATTGCTGCATCCATCAACAGTTGATAGACAGAGCTTTATATAGCCCAGCAGCAGTGAACATTCACCTCCCACCTGCTTTTCTCCCACTGGGCCCTCTCCATGTAAAATAATGAGGACAGAAAGGGTCTCGTCAGAGTCATTTGTCATCATCTCGTGACAGACCTTAGAACAGAGTTGGCACGAATGAAATCCATGTTCTGCTCCAACGTCAGTGTCATGCACCTATGCAGAGTCCACAGAAACTGGTGCACATGTGGGCATGCAGCTAGCTTCTTGGAACAGACATGGCAATCTAAACCAGAATCTTACTAAATTTGAATGGTTTAAAACAAATACTCATTGTGTGCCACATGTCTAATAATTGCCTATGATAAACTACATACATTTTTTAAACCAAAAACTCCTTTAAAAATATTAAACAATTATTGGCAACACCACTCTACACCACAAAACACGTCCACTCATCCAGTTTCTCAGTATTTGTAGTGGTTTCACCCATCACACACATATACCAAGAACAATGTAGGATTTAATGCCTTGCAGAAGGGCACTATGACATGCTTCAGACTGGTGAACCATGAATTAAACCACTGACCCTCAAATCATCAGATTAAATCACAACTTTCCCTGCCCATCATTAATTTTCTCACTGAACTATAACTATAAAAAAAACAGACCCTTATTTTGCAATGTTAGTCATGACATTGTTCAACTAACAAAAATAAAAATATTTTATTTGCACTTCAACGTAACCAGCGCTTATCCAAATGATCCAGAAGCAAGCGCAAATGCAGTAGATGGATAATAAAAACAAGACATGGTACGAGTGCTCTACAAGATTATAATCCACATTAAGTCATAAATTAAATGAGTATCAGACTAGGGCTGTGCAGTCAGTGTTTTTTTTTTTTTTCCAAATCTTGAAATTCAAATTTAAATGGGCTAATTGAAAGATGCATTACAATGTTTTTTCTCTAAACCCATGCACAACTATGCAAAAGAAAGACTGTCTTAGTGCCTTTCTGCCAAGACGGTTTATTTTGAAAGGATTATTAAGTAGAAACGTTGCTCAAGTGTGAGCTAAACTTTACTTCCAGATTACGTAAAAACTGAATAACTGCAGCAGGCGGCACGGTGGCTCAGTGCTGTTGCCACTCAACGAGAAGGTCGCCAGTCAAAATACCAGCTGAGGACCTTTCTGGATGGAGTTTGCATGTTCTCTCTGTGCACGTGTGGGTTTTCTCCAGGTACTCCAGTTTCCTCCCACAGACCAAAAACATGCATGTTAGACTGATTGGCAACTCTAAAAATTGTTCCTAGGTTTGAGTGAGAGAGTGAATGTTTGTTTGTCTCTATGTGTCCCTGTGATGGACTGGGGACCTGTCCAGGGTGTACCCTGCCTCTCGCACAGTGATGGCTGGACATGGACACCAGTGAGCCCCCACAAAGCAAAAAGGAAGACGCGGGTAAAGATAATGGATGGATGGATAATTGCAAACAAATTACACAAGTGTTCCTGCTTTAAATGCCCATTCCTACAACCAACATTTACAAACAAAAAATAATTTCTGAAGACCCCCTCTGCATGAGTCTCCTGTCCCTCCTGTCTCACCGTAGACAGACAACTTCTCTGCTCCCGGATGACAGCACAGCAGCCGAGGAAACCAGTAACCACCACTAGGCTGCCAGCCAGGATGAGGATATATGCCGAGACAGCAAAGGTGCTGGAAGCCAGCAGACTCAAGTAGTCACTCTTCTCCACCACTGTCCAGACTCCAACACCCAAGACAGCAGCTCCACCCATCTGCAAAAGTAGAGGAGAGAACAATATTACTTAATAAAAAGTAACAAGCACACCAAAATGAACAATGTGGCACGTCTGCTCAATCTTATAAAAGTACCAGCATGGAAAAAAGTTGCACTTTTCAGGAAAATAAGTGAGTTCAACATCATTAGATGAGTCACTGATGTAGGGAAAGAAAATAGGAAAAGGTCATAAAAGAGAGCGGAGAAAAGAGAGTAAACAGGGAATGCGTCACTAAAACAGCCACAGGAGCATTAAGACTTCAGAAGTCAACTCAGGGCAGGATAACTGCTTCCTTACAAAGAATCCTAACGTTCACTCACAGTCGAATAGGAAATGCCTTACAGTCGTTTCCCTTCATCCTCCCATCCCCTTTCCGTCTAAATTCAGATTCTTTTGTTTAAAGTAAAATGTGCCCAATCAAGAGGCATCAGATGGATAAAGGACACACTAACAAATAAACTGAATATAAGCAGTAATTGGTTTAGCCCCAACAAGTTCCACTGAATTATAAGATAACAGATCTTTAAAACAATGTCAAAAGGCCTTAAAGTCTGTTGCTTCATAACTCTCAAACTGGATAACACGTTGGCCAAAGGTCACCAAGCTGAACATTTGTCAAACTCAGCTGCTATTGTGTTGTTGTTTTTTTTCAGGTCACATTAATTCACTTGTTCTTAAAATATATTCCCAGACAGTCTAAGTTGATAGAGAATGGAGTTCTTGCAAAATGTAGTCACAAAAAACAAATCACGATGACAGGAGAGGTCAGCAGGACAACGTCCTGACAAGAGATGCACCATTTCTGAAACCAATACAGGTTTCAGTGGTGGACACAAGAAAGTAAGTGGGTTGAAGAAAACTTGGAAGAAAGCCTGCGGTGCTTTCAGATGAAAGAGATAAACCTTTCTTCTAGAAATAAGTTGTACTGTATCGACAGAGCATCAGCTGAAAGCCTTTTTAACAAAAAGTTATGCTGTTCTGTTCCTAAAAAGTCTCATCCATCAATCTGTCTCTGCATCTTGGCTTTTTTTTTTTTTTTTTTTACTCTAAAAACGTTCCAAAGCAAGTATAAAATCATTATTTAAAAAGTAAACTGCAGTACTGTTAGGTAGGATGCTAGAGTGCAGGTTTGATACATCTGTCAGCGAATGGATACTAAGACCAAAATACTCTGGCTTACTTGAGGTTGAGACCACAGGTCGGCATTTTCAGGATCAAGGGTGCTCCTTAATCCATCGTCTTAACCCCTCACATGTGTCAAGCTACACTTTAAAACATTTATGATTTGTGTTGAAAATAGAATGAGCTTTAAAAGCTTAGTTCTTGCTAAAGGCCACTTACCCAAAAGAGAAAGTTGAAAACAAAAAGCAGGTACTTCAGACACACCGTCAGCCAGTCTTCCTGGTCATCTTTATAAACTGCTGACATCTTCTTACCGCCACTGCAATTCTGAGGAATTTTATTTAAATAAAAAGAAACTTATTAGGAAAATATATTGAGAAACACAATAAAATATATTGTTTAAAGTTGTGTTCTGATTAGGGATGCACAATATTGGATACTTGGCTGATATTTGATATGCCGATTTGTTAAAACTTATTTGGCCGATAACAGATACCAATATTTTTTCCCTAGATACATAGCTACTACATAGCTTTTTATGCTGTGGAAATAAAGTACTATATTATTCTGCATGGTCTTTGTCAATTTTGCCTGCTACCAAATGCAGATGCCAAAAAGGGGGCTGAAAATGATGCAACACTTCAACTTGATTTATGTTTAATGTCAAATTTATTCATGACATTTACTCTCTCTAAAACAATGGCAACAGTCAAACTGTGCAAATTTTCAAAATTCTAAACTATATATACATACATACATATACATAAAAACACCACTTTTTATATATGAGAGTTGTGGACTGGCCAATGTCCGATTTTTAACTTTATCGCTAATATCGGCCGGTACAGATACCATGCCGATAATATTGTGCATCCCTAGTTCAGATCCCAGAATGATATCCTGCTGGTTGCTGTAACTTGTTGCAGAAGCTCAGGTCATTTTGTGCTTTTTCTTTCACTGTTTGTTAAAATTTGTTGGATTAAATGCTGAGCTGCCTCAGTGATTTCTCCTGATACTCATGGCACATCTTCAACAGGTCCAGTAACCATGGAAACATGAGACTGTTTACAAGCAGGAGCCGCTGATTAGTCCGAAGTAGATTTTTCAAAATTACTTTTCAGGTCCTTTGTTTACATTATTTTGATTATCATCTGCTCTTGTTGCATCACGGACCATATCCTTGCATTATTTACAGCAGGGAAAATAATAAATGAGTGCGTTGCAGGTTCAGTTCGGTAAAAGGCCATGGGCCAGGAAGCACTTAGAGCCATAAAACTGATCTATAGAGTGTCCTTCAAAGAGCTGCATTTAAATAACAGACTTCAGGTTTAATAACACTTTCAATATCTGAAACAGAGAGGAAACTACTTAAGAGATTAGGAAGTGTTGATTGATAATTACGTTTCACATGGATGGGGGGGCTGAAACAAAATAGTTAATAAAAAAAAAAAATTAATTATAGGTCGACCATCATGTTGTCACGCCATCAAACTGGCATGCCAACCATGTGACCTTACAATGACCCCAGAGAGGCATTCTCATATACCCTTTCTGACTAATTTTAGATTTCAAAGTATCAGCTGGAAAGGAAAAAGTACTGTTAGTGCATGTTATTATGTGAAAGTAAAAGGCAGAGTGAGAGTGGAGTTAAATGTAACATGCCACAGAGCTGTCTCCAACAGGACTGAACTCTGTGCAAAGTGATGCTGCCGAGATGTCCTCTTTCATTTTTGAGTCAGTCGCAGAGAAGGTTGCTCGAAAGTCTTTCAAATGGAAAGTTTAAAAGTTTGCTATCAACATGCACGCCCACCAAATGTTAATGGTTAACCACAAAGTGCAACTTCAAACATTATGAGTCAGCCTCAGCCTCACCCAATAACTGCAGGATTTTCTATAGTTCCCTATTGTTGTAGAAAAACAGGAGAATCATTGTTGCATAAATGTTTTGAACATGTTCAAAACTCAAGCGACGGGGCTCCACAACTTTGCAATTTGCACAATGAAATCAAGAATCCCGTAAAAGATACAAGAGGGTCTTGAGAGGATTGTGCGAGTTTGGCAAATACTCCCTCAGTTACATCAACCATCACAGACGACAAAATCAAGCTTTTGCATTAGCAAAATGTTTCATTGACCACTTGATGACTTTTAATAAAGCTCTCAGAAAGTAATGATTATATCCCCAGCTGTATCAAAAGAGAACATGTGCAGCAAACAGACATTTGCTGCATGGGTTATTAGGTTATGTTGTTGTTCAAGTTAAAACTATTAATATTAACAAAGTTCAGAGTTTTATGTTTATTTGACAGCGATTTCAATTTTTTTTTTGAAGGCTAAATACATTAATTTATTTGAACAGTTTTTCTGAGGCTTTTATATCTTTTATATCGATATGAAATTATATCGTTATCGAGCGAAATTAAGAACTATATCATGTTAAAAGTTTGGGTCATATCGTCCAGCCCTAATCTCTAGTATCTACAACTGATTTCATTTACAAGTCAACACAATATCAAGAAAGTCACCGCTGCCAATGAGCCTTAGCCCACACAAAAATGGCTATAACTGTGTTTTACTGAAACTGCGCTAGGTGTGGTAGTAGCTGAGAGTCATACTCAAGGGATACTTTGACGCCAACAGATCACGTGGCATGTTGTTCACGTGGTTTGTCTTTGGTTTCAATCACTGCTGTTTAAGGCAACAAACATGTCTTTATGTAGTTTTGCGTTTATAAGCAAACGACGAGTAAAAAACACTAAATTGTCTCTGGGGTGCAAAATATAAAATAATAAAAAGCTTATGTTATACTTCATGAAACGTTTCGCTTTTGTCTTGTCCAGTGACGTTTAGCACACCTGGGTAATTATAATAATCAAGTTCCGGCTGCGTCCAAGTAAATCACCTACGTTACAGATTAATGCGCCACTCCATTTTAATTGTTCATCTATAACTTTGTTTGCTAGTATAAATAGATAACATTGTTATTAACCCTAGTCCAATACTGCAACATTCTACTAAAATATCACGATTAAAGCATATTGAAGCCGTTTTTTTTTCTCCACCTCTAAAAGTAAACGTAGTATCTAAACCAGCGGTTAACTGTTCACCAAGGTCTGCCTCCGCCGTCTATTCAGATACTATGTTTGGAAAAAAATAAATACATGGATCCCTCCGAGAATTGACGTCCTTCCTGAGACAATTTGGACTTTGGCCACCGCGTGTCTTACGCCTACCTTATATCGGAAAATATGTAGAATGCTACAAACTTTCTCCTACACTTCCTCAAAAAACTGAGTAGCATCTTGGAAAAATGAGAACACCTGCGACGTTGATGCGCAGGACCGAGTTTAACCAAATTATTTCAGTTACATCGATAAAACTTGACTTCTAAACCTCATGACTGATAAAATACTCACCAAACTAAGATGTAGTTGGGTTAAAAACTACTTGGTGTTCTTGCTGTTTCCTCCCGAGCGCAGCGAACTTACAGCACTGCGGTGGTGGGCGTTTTGTCCAGTCGAGCTATTTTCTACTGTCCGACGATTTGAGACTGTGGTGCGTTTAGGGGAAGCTCGTATTTTTGAGTTACTTATTTACTTTCTCGTGAACAGAAAAAGAACAGCAGCCGAGATGAAGCAAACGCCACAGATTCAGGTTTGCATTTTTCAATGATACATGATTATACAGATATGAATGTTGACTGCTAAATGACAGCTAAAATTTGTTGAAGAAGCTAAAACTAAATTGCTAAAGTTACAACAGATTAAAAAGCAAAGCATTAGCTAAAATCTACTAATTTAAGGCTAAAAAATAAAATGAAAAAGCAGTATCAAAAATAGTAAAAGAAAAGATGGACACACTAAAAATAAAAATAGCAAAACTGTAAAAAAAAAAAAAAAAAAGACACTAGGAATAAAAGGAGTTAAACTTTAGCTAAAATCTAAAACAAAAGGTTAAAAACCAAAATTATAAAAGCTGTATCTAAGCACTACAATTAGCAAAACTACGGTGGCCCTGAAGTTTAAACCATCCATCCATTATCTACCCCTTGTTCCGAAGTCGGGTCGCGGTGGCAGCAGCTTGAGCAGGGAGGCACAGACATCTCTTTCCACACCCACCTCTTCCAGCTCTTGGGGGGGACCCCAAGGTATTCCCAGGCCAAATGAGAGACATAGTCTCTCCAGCTTGTCCTGGGTCTTCCTTGGGGTCTCCTCCCAGTCGGACATGCCCAAAGCACCTCTCTAGGGAGGTGCCCAGGGAGCATCCTTAACAGATGCCTGAACCACCTCAACTGGCTCCTTTCGATGTGGAGGAGCAGTGGTTCTACTCCGAGTCTCTCCCGGATAACTGAATTTCTCACCCTATCTCTAAGGGACAGTTCAGCTACCCTGCGGAGGAAACTCATTTCAACCGCCTGTATCTGCGATCTCATTATTTCTGTCACTACCAAAGTTCATGACCATAGAAACAGAGACCTTTGCCTTACAGTTCAGCTCCCCCATTACCACAACGGACCAGTACAGAGTCCACAATATTGCCGATGCTGCACCAGTCCGTTTGTCAATCTCACACTCCATTCTTTCCTCACTCATGAACAAAACCCCAAGATATTTGAACTCCTATACTTGAGGCAGAACCTCACCCTCGACCTGAAGAGAACAATTCACCCTTTTCTGGTTGAGGACCATGGCCTCAGATTTGGAGGTGCAGATTCTGATTCCACCCGCTTCACACTCGGCTGTGAACCTCTCCAGGGAGAGTTGAAAATCACGGCACGATGACGCCAACAGGACCACATCATCTGCAAAGAGCAAAAATGGAATCCCAAGGCCACCGAACCGGAAACCCTCCGCCCCCTGGCTGCACCGAGAAATTCTGTCCATAAAAGTTATGAATAGAATCGGTGACAACGGGCAGCTCTGGTGAAGTCCAACTCCCACCCTGAAGGGGTCTGACTTTCTGCCGGCAATGCGAACCAAACTCTCGCACCGCTTGTATAGGGACTGAACAGCCCGTACCAATGGGCCCCCAATCCCATACTCACAGAGCACCCCCCACAGTGTACCCCAAGGAACATGGTCAAATGGCTTCTCCAAATCCACAAAGCACATGTAGACTGGATGGGCAAACTCCCATGACCCCTCGAGGACCCTAATGAGGGTAAAGAGCTGGTCCAGTGTTCCACAGCCAGGACAGAACCCACATTGTTCCTCCTGGATCTGAGGTTCAACCAACGATTGGACTCGCCTCTCCAGTACCCCTGAATAGACCTTACCAGGAAGGCTAAGGAGAGTGATGCCCCTGTAAATGGAGCACACCGTCCAGTCCCCCTTTTTGAAGAGGGGAACCACCACCCCAGTCTGCCAATCCAGTGGCACTGCCCCCGATGTCTACGTGACGTTGCAAATGCGTGTCAGCCAAGACAGCCCCACAACATCCAGAGCCTTAAGGAAATCAGGGTGAATCTAATCCACTTCCGGAGCCCTGCTGCCACAGAAATTTTTAACTACCTCAGCGATCTCAGCCATGGTTATGGACAGACCAACCCCGAAGTCCCCTGACTCTGTTTCCTCCATGGAGGAAGTGGGATTGAGAAGGTCCAAGAAGTATTCCTTCCACCTCCCTGAAGTTTAAACCACAACTACAAATTTAAAAAACACACAAAAAAATAAATAAAAAAAGGCAATTACATTAAGCAAAACCGGAAGACGTGGGAAAGGTGGGAGATTCAAAATGCGCCGTCGTCCAGTCGTCGTGTTTTTTTAATTTGTATTTGTAGTTAAATTTCAGGGCCACTGTACAAAACCATTGCTGAAAGCTAAAAAGAGCAAAACGGTAACAAAAACATAAAACTAGCAATATTCTAGATATAAGCTTAAATTATCTAAAATGTAGCTAAAAACAAAATTAGCAAAACAGAAACAAAAACAAAGCAGCACAAGAAGACAAAAATGGAGCATGTGAAAGTAAACTTGAGAGAACACTGTTTTTAAAGAAATTGAAGAGATCTCAATGTGTTATCATGGGGAAAGTTTACATTGTTTTTTTTATTTGTTCACAATTATGTATCATTACTCCTTTAAAAAAAAATCTTAACTTTAACAGTTTGAGAAAGTTAAAGTGGACTTTTGTTGGTACGTACATAGAAATTTACAAAAGGCCTCAACATGAAAATCAACTCTGTTGGAACTGCTCATTGAATTTTTTCATCTACAGTATTTCAATTACATAGTGGGCCTACACCATGTAAAGCATTTAAAACAAGCCTGCTACTGTATAAGGTTTATGGTTTTTGTTCGGTGTTCATATTTCTGACAGGCTGTGAAAGCATCGCTCCACCTAAAGGTATGATGAACACCACCCTGCCCTGTGTAACCACACAAGACAGGGTGCAAAGGAAGTGTGTTTGACTACATAAAAATAAAAGGAAATAAATTACAGTTTACTATGAATTAACCTCAATCTTGGGCTTACAGTATTTACAGATCCAAGTTTGTACTATACATCTACTGGTAGATGCCTCCACTATGTCAATCTGATAATTAAAAGACTTGGACTATATTTTGGCAACAAGCAGGTTGGATTGTCTTCAATTGTTTTGGTGTTTTGTTTAAGAAATACAGCTGTACCAAAACTATAATGATCTTTCTGTCAAAGAGATATTCATAAACTAAAAGAAAAGACAATGTGCAAAGAATAAAAGACAGGAATTTTTAAATCCTAATTTAAAACCTAAGTCTGCGTCTCATCTTATGCTCCACAACCCAGAGTAATACGTTTTTACCACAGTAATCTTCATGAAACAGGACTTCCTTTTGGACCAAAACAGAACACTAAGTAATTTTTCCCCCTTATCTTCCACATCAGTAATTCAATATGCAGACTATTAGAAGTAAATAAATGGCTGCAGGCTTCTGCAGTTGTACCTGGACTCACAATGTTGGGCCTATCAAAACAAAACCACTTAGCAAAGGGTGTCATCCATCACCTTCAACGTATTAAGCTCAATAAACCTAATTTAGAATAAGAACAAAGCAGCACATTGTTTAGAGTTTATGACTATAATTTTTTTTTATTCCACAAATGTGATACAAGAAAAAAGTTATTTCTGTGCCTCGTCTCTTTCTACTTGAGTTAGTTTGTGCCTTTTGTTGCTTTCAGAGCTCTCCAGTTCTTTTTTTCCTCAAGGAGTGGATTTAAAGTTAGTGCATGAGTGAGCATGAGTGATAAGCACAAACAAAAAGAATTAGGAAACAACAAATGCATGGGTGATTTTATGACCTGCAGAGTGACACAGCGTTCACAAACCTCCACAGTTACTGCTTTGTTCTGTGAGCAGCCATTTAAAGTTCACGCCTCTCATGCCAAGCTCGGCATGCTTGGAGTTTTGCCCGCCTTGTTAATAAAGTGAGCGTCAGGCTTGCAGAGAAGCGCTACGCAACTAGAGTTATTGAATTTTCTGTGAAAATGAAGTGTGAATGCCGAGAGTTGAATGATTGCTGATAAATCTATAACTCCGTTATTAAAGCTAAAAGTATCAAAACGCCAGCTAGAAACAAAAAGCAAGCAAAATGTAACAAAAGGCTAACTAAAAGCTAAAACAGGCTAGAAGCAGCAAAGGCCATGTATATGTAGCATCTTATGACCCGAGATCATTTGTGTGAGTGACAGTAATTGCAGGTTGATTGCTGACCCAGCTGTGCTGTGGCCCATCTGGGATTGGCTTCTTCACCTCCTGACTCCTCCAATCATAAAAGAGGCCTGCCTATTTAAGTCCAGCTTTCAATTATCGGTATATACGGGAGAAATGGTCGCTTTATTATTGGCTGTTCAGTGGGTAGAGGATATTAAACCGATGAGAACAATAATATGTTCGGATTCTAGCTCTTCTTTAATCAGTTTAAAACATAATGGTTCAGAGTGTCGGCCGGATATATTAGTAGAAATACAACAAATGCTGTACAGGTTGAAAATGATGGGACTAGCTGTGACTTTCTTATGGATACCAGCACATGTCGGTATAACAGGAAATGAAAAAGTAGACAAAATAGCGAAAAGTGCTACCAAAAGAGAGGTAGTGGATATAGAAATAGCATACAGTAAATCAGAATTAAAAAGCATTATTAAACAAAAAATGAGAGAAAAATGGCAAAAACAGTGGGAGGAAGGAAGAAAAGGACGTTGGTTTTATAGAATTCAAAGGAAAACGGGAGAAATGAGGTGCGCTGGAAGAAACAGAAGGGAGGAAATAGTTCTATCACGGCTAAGATTTGGACATGTTGGGTTGAATAAGTCATTGTTCATTATAGGAAAACATGATACAGGAAAATGTGGGTACTGTGGAGAGGATGAGGATGTAGAACATGTGTTAATACATTGTCAAAAATACAGTCTTGAAAGGAATCAACTGAATACTAGACTCACTGACATGAAATTAAGATTGGATTTTTTTGAATTATTACAGCACAATTCAAAGTCTGTAAGTATTCGAGCTTTAATGCAATACTTGAAACAAACTCGATTGTTTGAGAGAATATAGTTTTTTTTTTTTTTTTT